ACAACCCCCCCCCACGGCCCGCGCGGCCGCGCCGTGCTCACCCGCCACGCCGAACTGGATGACGATGTCGGCCTCGCGGCCGTACACGCGGGTGAAGCTGAGCGGGGTCACCGCGCTCCACACCGCGAAGGCCCGGGCGAAGGCGTCCTCGATCACCTCGCGCGGCAAGTCTTCCGAGTAGCTCTGGATCCTGAAAAGCCGCAGGAGCCGGGTGGGAGGGGAGGACCGGGCGGCCGGAGCCCCGCGCCCGCGCCGCACCCCTGTCACCCCACCCGCGGGGGGGGGGAGCCAGGCCTGGCGGGGAAAGTCCGGGAGGCCCTCCCCTCCACTGAAGCACCAGAAAGTCAGGTGCGGAGCTGTGGCTCAAGCGGTGGAGCGCCAGACGTTAGCAAAAAAGCCGGCCCCGATTTCAAGCCCCATTCCAAGGAGGGAGGGAGGGAGGGAGGAGGGAGGGGCGGGCGCAGGTGCAGGCCCGCCCCCCGCCCAGCCCCCGCCCAGCCCTCCTGCCGGCCCCGCCACTCACCAGTACGTGATGTTGCGGTGGTGCCACTTGAGGTCGCCCTCGAAGGTCTGGAATCTGCCCAGGTCTGGGACGCCGCAGCGCGGGGCCCGAATGGCCTCCAGGGTTTTGCTGTCCAACTCCCCCGTCTGGGGCAGGGACAGCTGCTTCTGGAGCAGCAGCAGCGCGGGGCGCAGGGACAGCTTCTCCCCCTGCATCTCAGCCACCCGCGTGTAGCCGTAGCGGTACAGGTATTCCTGCGGGTGGAGGGCGTCAGGACCTCCCCCCCCCCCAGGGGCTTAGGGACCGTCCATAAGGTGCTAACCTACCACACCAATGTGCATCCATCCAAGAGTGCTGCCTCCCACCCACACCCTCAGCTCCTTCCCTCCTGAGGAATCTGGGTCATGCCAATCTCAAAGCGCCCCTGCCACTACCAACCCCTGCCTATTCTAGAACCCTCCATAGCACCCACACACACACATACACCTGCACCATTTCCCACCGTTCCTTCCCAGCCATGTCTGTCCAGATCCTCCAACATGGCCCTAAAGCATCTCAGAGGTCTATGCTTTTTCTCAGGGATACTGGACACCTTGCTGGCCAGGTCTCCCTGGCTCCCCACAAGGGCGATTGTCTACCTGTGCCAGCTGGATGTCAGTGAGGTTGGTCGTCCTCAGGTCCCTGGGGAAGACCACAAAGGTTGGCTGGTGCTGGCGTGGGGCAGCTGAGCAGCAGCCCAGCACCAGGAACACCAGGACCAGGGGCTGAGAGGGGCCCATGGTGAAGGTAGAAGTATCTGGTGGCAACTTCTCTGGCACAGGGGCTTTAAAGAGGCACCAGGACTGAATCAGAGACCCCGCCCCTCCCCGGTGGGTGGCTGCTGACTCAAGTGTATTGGTGAGTGAGTGAGTGAGTGTGTGTGTGTGTGTGTGTGTGTGTGTGTGGTACCTCCAGCATAAGAAAGCCAAGAGAAGGCTTACATCACCTCCTCCACTGTCCCCTGCCCCTGCCAAAGTCAGGCAGGACCCTGGGCCCACAGGAAACCACAGCACTCTGGGAAGGGGCTGGCTTTTGCAGATTGCAGAGCTTGTGGGTAAGGGAAGGAGAGGGTCCAGCGCCAGCTCAGGGCAGGGCATGTCCTTGTAATTCTGCAGCACCCCTTCTCTTTCCTCTCCTGGAAAGCCTTCCTGACTCAGCTTCCTCTCTCAGATCCATGGAGGGGGGAGGGACAGTGGGCTCTGACAGGCAGGAATTGGGGAATTCCACAGGGGGAGCCCCTGTCTTGGGCACAGCGATTCTTTAAGGTAGTAGTAAAGGGAAGAGTTGGCATCTGTGAATTCGCAGATAGCTTATTCGGGCCTCAGGCAAATGTCCTTGCCATCCTAGATTTGTTTCCTTGGCTGTAGGAGGAATAAAAACAACAAAAAACCTTTGTCCCTAAAATGAGATCAAAGTCATAGAGTATGTAAATCCCCAATAGATGGCGATCATTGCTGCCAACCCTGAAGGCAAAGACGGGAATGGGAATGGCAGCCTCCGATCAGGAGACCCGGGTCTTGGGTTTTAACCCTAAGCAAGTGTCTTCCTCCTTCTGGGCTTTTTTTTTCTTTTTATCAAGTTCTCTGTTCATAATGTAAGTTGAGTGTATGCTTTGTACTCACCCTTGATTACATTTATTTATTTTTGTGATAGTAGAGGTCTAATTCTTATGCATGCTAGGTAAATGATCTACCACTTGAGCCATACCTCCATTTCTAACTTTTTGCTGGTTAATTGGAGATAAGAGTCTGGGCTGGGGCTGGGAACTTGGCTTAATGGTAGAGTGCTTGCCTAGCATGCATGAAGCCCTGGGTTCAATTCCTCAGTACCACATAAACAGAAAAGGCTTGGAAGTGGCTCTGTGGCTCAAGTGGTAGAACGCTAGCCTTGAGCACAGAGAGGCTCAGGAATAGAGCCCAGGCCCCGAATTTGAGCCCCAGGACCAGCAAAAAATAAATAAATAAAGTAAAAGAATCTGGGCTTGCTGGACACCGGTGGCTCACGCCTATAATCCTAGCTACTCAGGAAGCTGAGATCTGAGGATCCCGGTTCAAAGCCAGCCTGGGCAGGAAAGTCTGTGAGACTCTTATCTCCAATAAACGACTAGAAAATGGAAGTGGCACTGTGGCTCAAGCGGTAGAGTGCTCGCCTTGAGCTGAAGAGCACAGGGACAGCACCCAAGCCCAGAGTTCAGGCCCCATGACCGACCCCCCCCAAAAAAAAAATCTGGACTGTGTTTGAATCTCCTATCTTAGTCTCCTGAGTAGCTAGGATTACAGACTTGAGCCTCATTCCCTGCTCTCCTCCCACATAGGTTTTGGATGTGTGTGTGTGTGTGTGTGTGTGTGTGTGTGTGTGTGTGTGTGTGTGTGTGTGTGTGCATGCCAGTCCTGGGGCGGGTGCTGTACCACTTGAGCCATACTTCCATTGCCAGCTTTTTGGTGGCTAATTGGAGATAAGAGTCTCATGTTGTAGCTAGGATTCCAGGCATGAGCAGCTGGTGCCTGGTTCAAGAGCGGCATGTGTTGGGAAATGGAGAACCCCTCCAAGCCTGGGTTCTTTCTCTGGGTAGAAGTGGGCACTGACCAGAATCTTTCATTGCTATGTACATATGCCATGTTTCTGAAACTTAGCACTTTAGATATTTGGGGCTGGATCTTTCCTTGTTTGAAACACTGTCGTGATCAGCATAGGATGTCCAGAAGCATCCTCAGCCACTCTGCCCCCGAGATGCCTGGAGCACCTCCCCCTGCCAGTTGTGGCAACCAGAAATGTTGCCAAACGTTGCCAAATGTCCCCTGGGTGAATGGGAGGGGCAGGACCACAGGCACATGTTGATTTCTTTCTTTTTTTTATTTTTGTAAAGAATCCAAAACTTGGGGTTGGGAAGGTAGCTCAGCGGTAGAGTGCATGCCTTGCAAGCATGAGGCCCTGGGTTCAATTCCTCAGCACCACATAAACAGAAAAAGCTGGAAGTGGCGCTGTGGCTCCAGTGGTAGGGCGCTAGCCTTGAGCTGAAGAGCTGAGGGACATCGCCCAGGCCCAGAGTTCAGGCCCCATGACCAGCAAAAAAAAAAAAAAAGAATCCAAAACTTTCATCACTATTGATGATGATCTTCCAAACATGGAAAGGCTATTCGCTCAACAAATACTTGTTGACCTGTAGGGACCAGGCTCTGGGCTTAGCCGTGGGCCTACACAAGGACCCCAAGGTAGCCCTGGTCACCTTACTCATGGAGCTGAGCCCAGTAGGGGTGAAATTGGGGGAGTAGGTATTTACCAGAAAGATAAACACCACACAGAGAGATGCTTTATCTTCTCCAGTTACCTCCATTATACAGATGAGGAAACAAAGCCCACAGTGGCCACCCAGCAATCTGTGGACAATAAGGAACAGTTGCCACAAGCTCCCACTCTTAAACCAGGCCATCTACGTTCAAATCTCAGCTCTAGGGCTGGGATGTAGCTCAGTGGCAAAGCACTTGCCTAGCAAGTGCAACGTCCTGGGTTTGATCCCCAGTACCAAAAAAGAAAAGACAAAAAAAATACAGTTAAAAATAACCCCAAACAAAAAAAGAATCTCAGAGTCAAATCTCAGCTCTGCCAGTCACTTGCCTGGAAACTGGTGCCTCAGTTTCCCCATCTGTGAAGGGGGAGCAATAGCAGTACTTCCCTCATCCTAAGGGCCAAGGTTAAGTTGCTTGGCCCGTGGCCCGTGTGCAAGGCTATTCTGGACTGCTGTCCTTTAGGAGAGCTGCTAATTTTAGGTGATCAGAGAGAGAAAACACTTCCCAGGGCCCCTAAGACTTGATTCCTAGCATTGTCCCAAGCGAGAACCTTCCTTTCCCCACTCCTCACTTCCTCCTTCACTCCTCCCATCCCCCAGACCTCATCAAGGGGGAACTTGAGGGAGCTTAGCTTTCAACACTACCGTGGCAGGAAGTGGTGCTGGTTACCACATCCCCTTCCCCATTTCCCCTCCCCCTCCCTCCAAGACCACAAGAGAGTTCAGCCAAGGAGGAGAGGCTAAGAGCAAGCTGTGCCCCTGGAGTGGAGGAAGGCCATCACAACCCCAGTGTCCAGGCTGAAGTTGTAGTGTGGACTCTAAGCCCTGGGCAGGTGGAGGCCCCTGCAGGACGGAGAGGGGCCTCACCCTGGATCCCTGAGTCACCAGCCGGATGACACAGTCCTGCAGGCTGCTATTAATAACTCTAGGCCCCCAGACCAGGGTTAGCCTCAGGAGATGAGGAATCACTGCCTCTGCCTAGGATGGGGGAACTCCAAGTCTGCTTGTCCCAAACCTGCTATAGGCAGGTGCTCAGCCTGAGAGGCTCTGGCAGGATATAGAGGAGACACTCCTCAAGTCCAGGAGGAAGCAGAAAGGTGTGTAGACAAGACACTGCCTCAGGTGCGAGATCACTCAGGATCCACTTCCCACCACAGGCACGCCTCCTGTCCCACGCCTAGGGTGATGGCAGTCCCCCAGTGACTCTTAGAGGCCTGAACATCACTAAGTCATGTCTCCAGCTCACCTGTGTGGAGTGCCGTCCACAGGAACGTCGGTATCCACTATGGAATCTGATCCCAGCTTTTACCTCTTACTGCCTGTGTGGCCTGAGGAAAGTCACTTTGTCTCTCTGAGCCTCCATTTCTTTATCTGTAAAATGTGGGGGGGGTGTCTCTGTGGTAGAATGTGTGCCCAGCGTGCCCAAGGCCCAGCAGCAACACCACACCACAATTAATTGATTAGCTAATTACTTAATTAAAATAGGGCAAAGAACAGTCCTCATGGCTGGACAATTTTTGCAGGACTGGGGATTGAACCTAGAACGTTTCACAAGTGTTCTACCTCTTTTTCCAGTTTCCTCTCTCACTCTCTCCCTTTCTCTCTCTGTGTCTGTCTGTCTGTCTCTCTCTCTCTCTCATGCCATTCCTAAAGTTTGAACTCAGGGCTTGGGTGCTGTCCCTGAGCTTTTGTGCTGTCTAGCACTCTATCACTTGAGCCACAGTTCTACTTTCAGCTTTTTGGTAGTTTATTAAGGATAAGAGTTTCACAGACTTTTCTGTCTGGGCTGGCTTCAAACCATGATACTCACATCTCAGCCTCCTGAGTAGCTAGGATTACAGGCATGAGCTACTGGCACCTCTCTCTCTCTCTCTCTCTCTCTTTCTCTCCCTCCCTCCCTCCCTCCCTCTCTCTATTAGCTTATATTGTTTCATTGTCATATTTCCATACATGCATAAAATGCACTTAGATCAAACTCATTCCTTCTGTTATTCTTTCTTATTCTCCCAGCCCCCTATTTTTAAAACAATTTTAATGGGCTTCATTATTCTATTTTATATATTCAGATGAAATACTTCAATATTCATATTCAGTATTCAATATTCATCCCCTCCCCCTCTCCCACTGGCTCCCAGCCTGAGACAATCCCCATGTTTTACACTCATCTTTCTTTTTTGTTTTTCCTTTTAAGTAGGAAAGGATTTTTAATAGAATATTAATACTTTTGTATTTCCTATTTAAAACAAATATTTCCCATCTCTGTGTGTGAGCTCTTTTTTCTTTCTAATACAAATGTTCAACCACCTTCTCCCCCCATGTCCCATCATCTCCCTCCACCCCAATACCGTGTACTATGGTCTCAGGATACCCAGGATGCCATAGGGACATGAAACTGACACCAGCAGACCAACTACACAGTGGTGTTATATGAGGGGCCTCTCTCTGTCTCCCTGT